TGCTTTTATAGACCTCTATCATATCCCCCCTCAGTCTCCTCTTTTCTAAGATGAAAAGTCCCAGTCTCTTTAGCCTCTCTTGATATGGGACCTGTTCCAAACCCCTGATCATTTTAGTTGCCCTTTTCTGAACCTTTTCCAAGGCCAAAATATCTTTTCTGGGGTGAGGAGATCATATCTGTACACAGTACTGAAGATATGGCGTACCATAGTTTGATACTTCCCCTCCTCCTTCTTCCCCTGGCTTCCCCCTTCCAGCTCCCTCCTCCCAGGTTTCCTTCTCCTCTCTCCCACCTTCTTTTCCCAGTCTCTGGGAAGCGAGTTTCTATTTTTGAACACACGTGTCCTTTATTTTGTACATCAGGAAGGGGGGCTAGGGAGGGGTAAGTGGAAGGAGGTGAGGGAGGAATGGGGTACGAGCCCCCGATGGGGAGGACTGGGCTGGCTCTGCGTGCTCCTCGGGGTGGAAGCTCTACTGCAGCCCCCTCGATTGACCCCCCCCCGGATGGCAGCCTGCGGCAAGTGCAGCCGGGCTGATGGCCGAGTGCTGTGATGTGCCGAGTGTGGGCACTCAGGGCACTCCAAGCCAGGACGGCTTTGCAAGCAGGGAACCCCTGAGAACGGCCTGTCCGGGGTGGGGATCGGGTCCCTTTAAGCACAGCCCTTGGCTAGCCTGAGACAGCAGCTCCACGCTCTAAGTCCTCATCTGATGCCCTGCCGGCACTGCTTCCGGCCAGCTTTAACCTCAGTTCAGGGTCCACTCAGTGTGGACATGCTAGTTTGAATTAGCAAAACGCTAATTTGAACTAGTTTTTAAGTCTAGATGCGCTAATTCGAATTAGCTTAGTTCGAATTAACTAAGTTAGTTCGAATTAGTGCTGTAGTGTAGACATACCCTATCTGATTTCTCAGTGCTCAGCCTCAAAGCAAACCCACACAACACTTTCAAAAGATGAGGCTAGGCGCTTTAATTCATTACTATGGTAGGCACTAAAATACTGCACTGAACAGAGACACTGGATTTATGGCTTATCACAACAATCCATAACGCAATAAAGCCCCTCCCGTGGCTCCTTTTTCCCACCAACTCCTTTCCTTTCTCCCCACTTCACCCTGAAGGGACTCCTGAAATATGTGTTACTACTCATGCTAAACAATCTGTCCCAATTTGTATTCAGATGTGACATTCAGAATATATTCCCCAGTTCTCAAGGAGAGCTGTGTGTGGCTTAAAAAGCTTCTCTCTCACCAATAAAAGTTGGCCCAATAAAAGAGGTTACCTCATCCACTTTGTCTTTCTAACATCCCGGAACCAATGTGGCCATAATAACACTGCATTCATGAGATTCCTGACACACAGAGAAGTGACAAGGTCATCACACACAAATCAGTGGTAACACTAGTAACAATATCAACATCTCTGATTACCCTTTATAAAGCACATATCGCTCATGGTTCTCAAAGTGCTTTACAAAGGAGGCTAGTATCATTATCCCCATTTTACAGGTGGAGAAACTGAAGCACAGAAAGGAAAAAGTAACTTGCCCCCAGTTACTGGCAAAGCTAGGAATAGAATCCCGGTCATCTGATAGACAAACCAATGAGATGGCTGCTGGATCACACTGCATTTTCCCTAAGTAAACTATGTAATGACAGTGTAATGAATGTCAAGTATTACAATATGAGTGTATTGTTCTCAGACACATCTGGCAGGGCAGGGATGGGGGGACAGTGCATCCTGCTAATATACTTGCGGAAAGGGCCTATTCATTTTTAAGTTTTTAAATCTTCAGTACACAGCAAATATTAATAAATTATCCTGACAACAGCTCTGCGGTTATGCCCATTTTATATAAGCAGCAACTGAGACAGAAAGAATAAGAGGCAG